CCACAATTATTTGACATCTCCATCAAAGACCCTTCAGTTCTTACTGCACTTTGGAGAAGGACCATCAAACGTGGCCCTTTACTGTCCATTTTTGGCAGGTCTTGGTGTTGGTTGGACTTTTTGTCAAGTTATCTTTTTCTTGCTTGACTGACAAGAGATGGAAAACCATATTCCAAATTCCTGTGGAACATTCTGTGATTTTGCTGTTTGCCAGAATCTGTAAGCTAGCTGATTTGTTGCCCTCCTTCTCAAACTGAAAGCAGATTTCCTATTTTAATTTTTTTAATATATTGATACATTGTACACTGAATACATTGAATCATCAAATGCACAACACGAAAGGTTTTCAAAATGTCAAAATATCCACACGACATTTTGATTGAACCATCTGTCTAAACAGTCGATATATAGTTACAGGCCAGCATCTAGCTGGCCTTGATTATCTTGAATAGTGAAGCAGGACCTGGTTAATATTTGGATACCAGACCAGGGGTGTAAGCTAGACTGGAAATTTGAAAAAAACATCCCAAAGGAAAACAGTACCAAGAAAGCTCTATGGACATGTCCATGAAATCAACAACTTTATCTTGTGCAAAAATTAAATTCCCACCTCCTCCTAATCTTAGCAAATGAATCTGGAGATACCTTCTATTCTTTTTTTGGAAGTACCTTCTAATGAGTTCTGTTTGCAGTCTCTTTGATTTTAAATTGAAATTACTATTAAAAATCTTTTTTTTTTTTTTTTGCAAAAAGCGCCTGAACCCGCTTCTTAACTTTCTGTAGAGAATTGTTGTTCAGGAGGGCAGCAGTCCTGATCATCCATACCTACACTTAGTTTACTCCCTTTCTGTGTGTTGGGTGTGACATTTCAACCTTGCAACCAATCCCCCACCCCCCAAAACTTTTTCTCAAAAGAAATTGAAAATATATAGTAGCAGTACTACTTTTGTTCCAATCCAGCTGTAAGTCTGAGTGTATTTATTTGTATCCCACTGTGTCTTGGGATGCAAATAAGGTTTTAGCTAGCTGAATTAAGTCCTTTTGTATTATGTGATGTCTTGTTGGATAGTAGAGGTTTATGGAACAGCTTATGCAAATTAAAGAATTGGATTTGATGGGGCAAAAATAAAAATCAGTTTTTCACAAATGACAGAACCTTTTCATAAAAGCTGCAAATTGTAAGTTGGTTAGGACTTGAAATTAACTCTCTCTGCTCCCAGACTTAGATAATATTCTCAGCACAATATTCCTAGCAGATAAGATAGAAGATGCCTTACTTTTATTTTAATTGTTGATCCTCACAGTCACCACTACCACTGTTTATGTATGGACATCCATTACCATTCAAATTTGCTACTCAAAAAGGCTCCTGTGACAGCTTTCTAAATCCCCATTTGCACTGGACTCCTGACATAAACAGAAGTTTACATTTTGAACTACATGAGGAGAGGGAGAAATGGACCCTTCCCATTATGCTGACTGAAATAGCAAGCAGTGATGCATACATGCAAAGAGATTCGCTTGGCAGGAGATGCCACGGTAACCGAAAATGTTTGGGCAGCTCTGCTTTCTGTATCCAGTACTTTTGCTTCCTCATGAGGAATGATCCCAGACTCCTATAAGGAAGATCTAACTGGACTGGATCTATTGGGGAGAATCATGGATATCCCCACATGTACTTTAAGAGTCCCACGCCACACCTTAGAGCATTCCTGAAGGAATTCCTCCTAAGAAGAACTTTAGCTGAGTACTTGTACACAGGAGAAGTCCTGTTTCATAGATGTACTTGCCACCGCTACCATTGAACCCTTAATCACTTATGCTCCTTGAGTCTTGGTGAACCCTTGGCCTCTCTTCCTAATTCAAACTATGATCACTTGGCATCAAAGCAGTCTAAATCTGCTCTAAAAGGGTCCAGTTGTAGTTCCAGAGAGTCTAAAGCTCTTGGACTCTGGTTCAAAATCTCACAAAGCCAACTCCTTCTGGGAAGTCAGGCTCATCATCTGGTGAGGATTCTCCAGTGATGCATAGCATCATCTCCCTCTAGAGGATCCCCCTTCAACTAATTAAGCCAAACTAGTTTATTGGGGTCAAAGGCTGACGCACAGATAACATCAACATTTTTCCAGGAGTCAGTCTCCACACCAACCCTTCCATTCAACTGAATGAGCTACTGACCATTTTTGATGGAGTTAGAAGGCAAGACTGCTACTTTTCCCCTGCTCTCTGGCAAAGATGGGTGGGGGGCAGTGCAAGATTTTGGATGGCAAATTAGGAACAAAGAGAGAACAATAAAATGCAAGGTGTATTTACAGAATCAGAGCAAAGGTGAGAGCAGTATGTTATTAACCCAGACAGAAATGGGGAGAGACCAGTATAGCAGAGATTCGTTTTACAAGTATCTCTAAGGATGGGAATAACAAGTTGATTTCTAACTGTGATCTGTTGTCTGTGGAAGACCAGGCTGATTATGTCAGTTCATGAAATACAAGTCTATTTGTTTCACCTGCCACATAAACTCTGTAATTATCCATAATACCTGGAATTCTTAGAGGACTGGCCTGCCAATGAACTAGAGAAGGAGTTACAACAGCTGGAAAGCCTATTGTGAAATGGGACTGTTTATATCCCTAGTTAGAGAAGAATGTGAGCTAGCTGGGGAGAAATGCTGGGATGGTGTGCAAACTCTGTAAAAGGTAGTTAATCTGGCCAACCTGCTGAATGTTTATAGAGCTGTGGAAACAGTATTTGAGTGGACTGAGATGTTCTAAGATGGGAACAGGGTCTTCCAAAAGCATACAATGAATTTGGTAGCCTATATTGATACTGTCTGTGTTCACATGACAGGTAAAAATCTTAGTTGAAAGCATATGGTGCTATTTCCCTTCCCATTACAAAGTATTCTTTAACCAAATGTTTTATGTCTGTGTGTGAGTGTGCGTTTTGCTGAAATTAAAATGGGAGAAGAGCAATAACTAGCCAATCTGACTCTGGTTTAATTTCTAGACAATTTGAAGGTATTACAAATTGCATTGGTCACTTCAGAAAATATCACCGAATCTCAAATCTAACTTTAATTGCTAGAAGTTCCTTATCCTTCACAACGCCATTCCATTCAGCACTATTACGGTTTATGAGTCATAAGCACAGGGACACTCTGCCATCCCTAGAAGCTGTACTGGAACCACCAAATTGCTGTACTGAATTTCTTTGTTCATCACAAAGACATTAATAAAGTACAAAGACTGAACTATGAAGAAAATATTTCACTAAATCACTAAAAAGCTTGCTGAACCATGTACTTCTTCTGAATGGTACCCTTGATCAAAGTTGATTTGAGATTGGAGGTGCCAGTTCTGCTGGGTTTGGGATAAAATGCTGAGGAAACCAATCAGATGTAGTTCTTTCACTCCACATTCTTCCTACCAGGATAGAAAATCTTCTCTTTGGCTCATCTTGCTAGATTACTGGAGGAGAGGTTTGGTGTCCCAGGAAAAGTCAAGAGAAATAAGGTCTAACAGATTTGCCAGATGGTGGTAGTAAATCAGAATGTAATCCAAGTAAATAACCATTTTACCTAAATGCTATTGTAAAATATGAAATATATAAATATATATATGCATGTGTGTGTATATATGTAGGTTTGTATGTACATGGAATACACTTATTGTATGCATCAGTCAGTCTTCTATTCTACATCACTCCAGGATCACACCACCAAAATTCAATAGCAAGCTGCCCATTTTCATAACTACATTTTTGTGGTTTTTAAAATTGGGGCTAAAGTATGCATGCTTAACCTATGCGAGGCAACACACTTATTTTGCATTTAAAATCTGATCCTAGACTTGGCAAAATGTAAGAAAGGATGATAAAATATCTTTGATCTTCCAGTGACATTGCCTTATGACAAATGTTCCTTCTGATCCTCGCAGGCCAAAAGATGCTAAGGATTTCCTGTCTTTTTTCTCAAGCTCTGGAAGTATCTGTTTGGCACTGTTAGGAGTAGTGCATAATACATATCCATTATCCAAATTATGAAATATTTCTTTGTTTGCTTTGTCTTCTCATCTATGTCTATTTTTGAATATGGCCCTTGGCATGCCACAAAAAAGGAATATGGCCACAAACCCCCAAAAGGGTAGTGCTCCTATTACATAACCCTCTAAATTGTCAAAGACCCAGTCTTTGTCGCCAAAATGGGACCAGCCACCCATGTGTAGACACGGTCTACAGAAAGTTGCAGTTGTTTAAAAGTCTTCAGAAAAAAAAGGACAGAAAAATGTCTCCAACAAACTCCATGAAGACTGAACCTGCACATAATTATGAAACACTGAGGTCAGGTTGGGAAGAGATGGAGAACTGAGGGGAGAACTAAAGGACTGGAATGGCTAGAGCAGAGGTTGAAGCTCTCAGCTGTAAACCACCCTATTGCATAGCAACTGATCTCTGGATGAAGTGAAGGCATTCATGTGCTGCTTCATGCAGACTTCATTGAGCAGATGGCCGTTATGGTCCTTTGGCCTGATCCAGCAAGGCTCTTTTTAACTGTAGGTCAGAAATAATGGAGAACCAACCCGTCTCCACTGGACAAGCTTCCACACTGCTTTGCAGGAGGAAAAGCTTCATGAGAGAAAAAAAAAATGCAGCAGACATAATAGCGGGCAAATTAAGAAAGACATTCATAAACTGCTCTTTCACAGATGGCAAGGCTCACAAAACATAATTCATTTTCATTAGTCAATGGTTCCAATATTTAGACAATATGTAATGAAACAAAATTATGTTTTGGGTGTAACACAAGAAAAGTTATAGGAATGCATTGGACAGAATAATTTTGAATTAATTATGGTCTCTAATGGTGCTTGTTTGCTTCCTCCCTCTGTGTTTATGATGTTAAACCAGCACTTTAAAATGATAAGACATTAAATTACCTTCAAGATGTATCTTTGGAGAAGGACTTCTTCTCTTCCAATTCATCCTGTGCTTTGTACCGACAGGTTCCTGTTTCTGGGTGGCAGTGTTAAACGGCAACGTGGTGGGCATCGTAGCAGCCAGAGGCAACGAGGAAGACAACACGGTGGAGCTGCGTCGCATGTCTGTGGACTCTAAATACCGTGGTAAAGGGATCGCTAAGGCTCTGGGCCGCAAGGTGCTGGAGTTTGCCATGGTCAATAACTATTCCTCTGTTGTGCTGGGAACCACCGCGGTGAAAGTGGCAGCCCACAAGTTGTATGAGTCGTTAGGATTCAAGCATGTTGGGGTGGTTGAACACTATTCTCTGCCTGGAATGACACATTCTATTCTAGAGCAAATATTTTTCCAGCTTCGCTACCACCGCTACTGCCTGCAGCTGCGGGAAGAATGAGAAAGCGTCACCTTCATTGTGTTCCTCCCCAGAACCTTCCTTGCCAATGTTTTGTGGGGGTTTATGTCATGGTTGATTTGCCATTTCTTCATTTCATTTTCTTCATTGGCTTTGTACAATTCCTTGTACAAGCAAAGGGCCCTTCTTTTCTGAAATGCTTGTAGGGTGATGGCGCTAACGCTGGAGGTACAGTGGACTGCCCTTGGCCTTGCGTGGATCAAGGTCGGGATGGACACTATCGCTCTCCCAGTCTTACCCAGGTTGCCTACATAAGCACAGAAATATTAATGCATAACAACGCTGCTTGTCTGATGTGTGTTTAATAATAATAATAATAATAATAATATCCTCCCCCCTCAAGTATTAAAAAAGCGATACTTCATGATACAGCTAAGTGCAAACATTTTATGTGAATGCATTTCTCAGTATTTTATGAAGTAGTATGCATTCATGTTTTCATGATATAATAACGGTTAATAATGCTGAAAGAAAATGTGAAAAACCTGCTTGCTATAATGCATGAAGAGGAAGTATTTGCATGCATTCAAACACACTACCAAGTAGGCTCTAATAATGCACTTTTGGATGTACCTCCTTGTGCCCAAATTCTCAAGAATATTGGAGCATCTCACACCTAGGACTCGTTCCTTTATCCTCATTTTCTTCTTAAGCCAGCAAATATGAACCCTGAGCCCAATGTAACATATGTAAATTACTGAAATATCAAATATGCGAATGTAGATAGACTTTGAGGTCCTCTGCCAGATATCTCCATACACAGTGTAATTTTTCCTTTATTGAGTAGTTTTGCTTTAGTTTTATTTTTGCTTTCATGATTCTAACTCTCGCTTTTGTGGACCGGTTTCACAGAGGCAAAATGGAGACTTCTGTTTCTATGGCAACACACCTGTACGCTAATATGTGCACCAAATCTAAACGCTTCAGAAAAGCAATATGCAAAAGACAGATAACTGGAGTTGCCAGTTCGGCTGAAGGTGGCTAGAAAAGCAAAGATACTATTTTAATCAGTTGCTACTTGCTAGTGGGATAAATATAGAAGAGCTGCCATGCGAAGTCACTGCTGCTTTAACAATGTCACATTTGTGAATTGTACAGCTCCGTGCAAAAAGCAATGCAATGCAACAGAGATATGGCATGTTGTCTGGAATCCAGCACTAAAACACCTAAGGTTGCAGCTTCTTCTGCCTTGAAAATACCAATGTTCTCATTTATTTCAAGAAAGCAACTTTGCATTCATGATATCTGAATAGAAATCAGGCAGCCTTTTGTTTTCAAATGCAATATGTCAGAAATGCTCAGAACATTTCTGGTTGCACTTAGTTGAGGGGGGAGCTGAAGGATTTGGCTTTTTAAAAAACGCTCTCATTTAACATTTCCTCATGTTGAAAACGTTACGATAGAAATTAGGCAACCCGTTGGGAGGGCTAAGGTTTCAGAGATGAAGAAAGCTGGGGAAGAACGAGAGCAGAAACACCGCCATCGAGCCAATCCTTTTGTATGGCACCTGGGTGGTCATAACTTTTGACGCTGGAGGACAAAAGCTGCATTTCTATTCAGTGATATGGAGACCCTCTGTACTTTGCTTCGGTATCAAAATGGGGAATGGGTGGAAAAATGGCAAAGGCCACACTGAGGACACAAAGGCTGCCCGGGACTGTCCTCATCTCAGGCCCGTGTGAGGAGTTCCCCATTGGTGTGCTTCCTGAGGACCAGCGGTTTCTTCATCCTCATCCAGGGAGAGCACTGATAAAGGGAGTGGGATTTCCAAGATGCTCCAGTTCCAAGCACAGAGCAACTTGGACCATGACGACTTTCAGGCTAATAATAAGGTTATGACCAAATAAAGTGAGAAGAATGGGTCACAAGAGTAAAACATGGTTTTCTGCTTCAACAGTGAATGCCTTCCTGCCTCAGACAGTGCCATGATCTAAAAATGGCAAGATCAAACTGTGCCCCAGCAATAAAACACTGGATCAGTACTATAGACTGATTTGATTAACAGAATGTACTTATTGGAACTGAGTGTGTGTCGATGTAGAATGTATTTTTTTTAAAGAGAAATTCTATGCTGTACATTTCTCTTGAAGCTCAAATGTGTACTGTGGGAAAAATGTAGGATAGAGGTGTAAAGTGTACAGAAATTGGTACAATATTTTATAGCTGTTTTTGGTGATTACATTAAACTGCGTAGCCCAGACGAATATTATAAAGTGTTAGGAAAAAAGGGAAAGGAAAGAACTGCTTGTGCCTTTTAATTTTTCCTTTGTGTTCTTGTGTTATCCTTGCACTAAATGATTTCTGGAGAATTAATAGTACTATATAGCCTAATTAATTGGAGATGAAAGGATAAGAATGGTACATGACCTCTGTGGAATATGATTAATTTTTATTGAGGCACTTTAAGAATGTGGCTGGTTTGATGCTTGTACCTTTGTAGATTTCCTATTCCTATGAATAGCTGCGTGACAAAACACCAGATATGGAAGTTCTCCTATAGAAGACCTTGACTGAATTGTCACTGTATGATAACGTTTTTAAGACTGCATATGGGAGCAAGCTTTTGAAAATACACGGGTTTCGAAGTGTTGCTTATCCTGCTTCTGCTGAATTCATTCATACAATTAGTTCCATGCCAAAGGAGGCAAGTTGGCATCTCTCTCTTGCCCATCTGGTTGTATCCTCCTTCCACCTTCTTTAAGCTGTAATAGCAAAGGGGCTGGCAGAAACATCCTTCATCTCTCTTTCTGGGCTTCTCCTGTAAGGTCTGAAACTCAACTTGCTTTTGGACGTATTATATACCCACCAGGGAAGAAGCATAAATTCTGCAATGAAGAAGTTATGGGAGAAGGAGCTCTGATTAGTGTATGTTAAAGACAAGAGGAGATTTTGAAAGCAGGAAGGGAGACAGCATGTAGTGTTTCTACACGAATGGTAATAGCCTGAAAGTAGAGGTTGGTGAATGGGATTGCCTAACATTCAAAGAGTGGCCATACTCTTAATCTAGGAATAACGGGAAACACATCTTTCAGCATAAATCTAGAAGGAACGATATCCTATAAGGTGGTTTTACTTTGGATGTGAAAGAAGATATAGGATGCAGGAAGCTAGGTTTTTCATCAAATCATTATCAACAGAAGGAGCAGGCCCCAAACTGTGATGCGGGTGGGGGTGGGGGGAGGCTCTGTAGCATTTTGCATTTTAGAGCAATTGAGGGAATATGCTAAGTGCAACCAATTGGAATTCTCCAGTGAATTACCCAGCGTGATCTGCTTTCATCTTCAGCCTGATAAAGAACATGTAGTTATATATGGTTTCGAAAATGATGTAGCAGTTATCCCTGTACAGATCTATACTGACCCACCAAAACCTTTTCCCATTTCCCAAGGAGAGATAGCACAACCAATAGCAGCTTAATTCTAGACTTGTGGTGTGACTATATGCATCCTACCTCACAAACAAATCAATCACGCTATGTTCATGGACCTATTCCCAACTCACTGCGCATTGATTTACGACCTTTATAGAGTTTCTGGCATAAGAAATGCCACATCTTCAAGTGGCGATATTTTTCATGTATTATAGATGTACATACCATTCATATGACTGACTTTATAACAGGCACATTTCTCCCGCAAAGGCTGCATATATTCTTTGGGACAGTGTTTCTTAAACTTGGCAACTTTAAGATGGGTGGACTTCAACTCCCAGAATTCTGCAGCCAGCATGCTGGCTGGGGAATTCTGGGAGTTGAAGTCCACACATCTTAAAGTTGCCAAGGTTGAGAAACACTGCTTTGGGGTATAGACTGCTGATGCTGTATGACCTGGGCTTGTCTTTCAGAAGGAGTTTTATGAGTCCTCCTTGGAATAAATTCCTAGGCTGATGGGAAAGCAGATGCAGAACTCTCCATGTGATCCTGTGCCTGACCGAATAGGACTGAGTCTGAGTGTTCTCTTGGAACCAAATATCTGGCGCTTTCCCCACATTTCTGCATTACAAGCTTTTGTGGCATCATTTTTCCAGCTACTACTTGGAAATACCACCCCCCCCCCGGTCAATGAGATGTACCTATTACAACATGACAGAGCAATGTTGCTATTTATGCTGATGATTTTAATGTGGCCGGTGCATGACCACCAGTTTTGATAGGCTGTAAAACCAAAACAAAATTGTCTGTCTTAAATTTGGTATCCTTTTATGAGTAAGGAAGATTTAAAAAAAACATTTTATGACTTTGGGCAACTAGGCAAGGAGTTCTGGCAATAGAGCCTGTATCACAGGGGTGGCTGTGAGGTGGGCGGGGGAGTGTCAACCAAGTCAAGATGGTGACCACAATCATGCAACCAAAGCCCCACTACATGTGTCACAACAAATGTGGAGAAGGGGCTGGGCGTTGATCTCATGGTTGAGGCCACCCATCTTGACTTACTTGACCCCATTCTTGTGGACACCCCTACCTTATGATGTCTACAAATACTATTTAAGTAATTATTCTCTTAACTGACTTCTTCCTGGAATTTACTGCATGACAAGAATTTAACTTACAGAGCCAAGGCTAATATGCAACCTCCATTGAGTTTCTATATCAGCTGCATAATTCCAAAAGCATCCTTCTGGTCGATACATTTTGTTCACCTTGTATTCAGGTAAATAAGACTGAGCCCTTGTATTCTTAGGGCATTTTGTGTGTATCTTCTTTATGGCCTTCATAAGATGCACTAACTTACCAGGACTGCAAATACTTTGAAAAAAGGTACTTCATAATATGTGAGGGTCCCTATGAAGCACCTTTCTTCAAATCAGCCACATCTTTTTCAAGGCTTGCACAACAGCTTTGGATGCTGTTCCCAGCTGTCTCCACACATGTGTGCATTTGAACCTGCTTTGTTTCACTTCTGAAGTTGCTGCATAAGTCTGGAAATGTGCTTGCATGTTGCAAAGCACCTCTTTTGAAGCATTGGCACTGACAGTTGGCTTATACAGAGCGGTCACTGAAGTCCAAAGACTAACACTGTGGACTGCTTTCATCTACAGAAATGACTGCTAACCTTTCTTCTGAAAAGGTGCTGTGAAAATGGACTAACAATTCATGGTAGGTGGACAGTTCAGGAGCTCTTGAATACTTCTGTCCATTGTAAGCAGCTATTGTTTTTGTTTAAATGAGTGGATTACTTGCTCTCAGGAGGGAAAATGGGGCACTTCACTTGAATCTGAGTTAGTGAAAAGACTTTAATAAAAGTCTTTCATCTCCTTCTTATCTGCTGCCATGGGCAATTAAAATGTTTTCCAAATACTTTAGACAGCTTTTCAGAATGTATTTAGCTTGATGTATTTTGCCCTCTTCAGTTTCTAAATCTAGAACTAGCAGTAGTCTTCTCCTATGATCATTAGACAAACACTAACATTTCTACCCTTCAAATCCAAGAACCTTTGCTGTTACAGTATATGACATATCTGAGCTTCTTCCAAATTTGATCTCTCAGGCTTTTGCTAAAACTGTCATCAAAGTTTAACTTTGCTTCCTTGGTATAAGACTTCACTGATCTTTCCTGAGGGCAGATAACTTGTGTTTCTTTCAAGCTGATGGCTTAGCTGAAATTCAGCACCTTTCACTAAACAATGCTGTTGCAGTTGCCTAATTTACCACATGACGTTCTTCTACAGCTAAGTTGCTTGTATATTTAATTTCTTATCAGCCCAGCTTAAAAAAATGTACATTAGATTAAAGTCATCTGAGCATCTTTAGAATAAATTGAGCATTGGAATTTGAATTCCAAAAAATTATTGTAAATTCAAGCATACTCCGCATCTTAATAGACACCAATATAAGCAAATGTTCATTAGTGAACCCTTCTAATGACTGAACTGGGGTCTTCACTCTGCTTTTACAATGCCAGTTATCATTGGACGACATACTAATCTCTAGCTATGGAAAGATTATCATATATATGTGTATGTATGTGTGTGCACATACATGATAATCCTACATAATCATATATGTAATAATCTCTATATCTCTAAGATGTTATATATAGAAAATATATTTGTATGTTGTTTGTATATGTCCAAAAACCATAAGGTTGTCTGGGCATAGATTATTTCACTGCTTTATAGTAACATCTCATGTGTTGTGCATCAACCCTTGTTGCTATTTCTTTCATCAAAGCACTTTATTTATAAGGTTAGTACATTTCATAAGAAACTTTCTGTCACCCCACAGCTGCTTCTCACTGAGGCTTAATGATAAATACATCAGATCTCTAAACTGAGTTTCCTTCTGCCTTAGATAAGGAGTTTCACTGATTAAAGTTTTTCCTTCAAAAACCTCCTATCAGTCCACTGCTTTAATTCCAACAGAGGCAGAAAGGGTCGCACCCCCATAAAGGACGTTCTAGAGCAGTGTTTCTTAGATACTTACTTACTTTTCACTAACTTTTCACTTTTAAGCTGCCTGGATTTCAACTCCCAGAATTCCCCAGCCAGCCATGCAAATCTAAGCACTAGAACAGTGTTTCTCAAACTTGGCAACTTTAAGATGTGTGGACTTCAACTCAGTGCTGGCTGTGGAATTCTGGGAGTTGAAGTCCACACATCTTAAAGTTGCCAAGTTTGAGAAACACTGTTCTAGTGCTTAAATTTTAGAAGAGCTCTGCCTCTTCCTCACATGCACACCCTTCTGGACGCAGTTCTCCTTTTCCTTCTGGTCCACCATGGTAGTAGCACACTTAGAATCTCAGTATATTTCATCTGTATGATCTAACCCAATTGTGTTAATTTTGTTTTCCTTTTCAGTTTTGGTCTTTATTTTTTGGTTGTCACCTTTTGGCTATTCTCTACCTTCAGGAACAGAGACATAACATTACTTTAAAGGCCCTTTTCTTGAAAATATTGGTAGTCTGGAAGCCACCTTCCACTTTCTGATGAACACTCATTCTGTCTAATCTGTTTAGATGACAGACATGTAGACATTTGCTCATACTGCCAGACCTTTACTGAATCATCCTCTGTGCAACTCTTTAAGAATCACCCCATTAATGTGATTCTACAGCTTGAGGACTGAGCGACTGTTATCTAAGGATGCTCAGCTACACTCAAGCAATCGAGAAAAGCGAGACAAGGCAGATGGATGGCTGCTTCCAAACACCACCTGGATCAGTCAGGCAATCCTGGTAACAAGGTTCTGGATCCAAAAGGATGCCTTCGACCTGCCTGAATGCAACTTAATGCCCCCAGTCTGACTTGATAAATGTTCACATCCTGGCAACACTGAAGATCAAAAACACAGTCAAGGACAACAGAACCCTATTTCTCATATTCTCCTATTTATGGAGCCAACTCCTCCAGAGCTTGACCTTCTATTAACTCTGCTACTATTCCTTCACATCCAAAGACTCTCAGACAGTCGAGACCCATTGCAACTGGGCAAGATCAAGGAAACAAGAACTTCACAGATTTCAGCAAGGTAGTCTGGGGTAAATGCAGTATCTTGAAAACTGTAATAGGAATTTCCCAGCCTCAGTTATACTGAGTTAATTAAGGCGGAGTCTCTTCGAAACACTTCTTCCCAGAGTTCTCTTCACTGGGCTAAGTAGCCGTTTTTGAGATAAGCTGTCAACTGACTCACTATCTTGTGATTGTTTAGGTCTATGATCTTTTCCATTCCTTTCCCAGCCTCCCCCCAGTCACTCAGAGACTAGCCAATGTAGGGAATTTATATCAAGGCTTGAAATTTGAGATGTTTTGACCCACATTCCAGCAGTTTTCTGTGTTGAGGTGCATCTCCTTTACTCAAGAGGCTGTCCGTGGTCATTTTCCTCTGCCAGGTCCTTCCCAAGGTCAACACACACAGAATCCTTGCAACTGATTCCACCATTTCTCTTTTCATAATTCTGCTGGTTATGCAGTCTCCAGTACTTTTCTCTCAAGCCTTACAGATCTTCCTCTTCGAATTATCTGGCCTATCACCTGTTCTCATCAAAATATTGCTATGACATATTTCAACAGGATAGGTTATTGTACACAGGCCATGGAAACCTGATACATGTTCCTCATGAA